TAGCCGGGCACCATCAGCTTTCTTCACCACACTTGCTTATTCACCCGCTTTGTCTTCAGCGGTTGTGTCGGGAAGGTGAGCATCATAGAATGCCACAAATTGGTGATTTCTTAAAGAATGCTTACAATGTGACACAAAGCCATGTCTGTGAACTTTCCTTACTCCATCTCATGAACATCTGTCAATTCATCAGATTACACTCTGAATGCATCTCTTATCCATACTTGATTTTATAACTTTCAAATATTGACAAATTTCACTTAACAATGTCAAAAAAATCACATTTGGCAATATCACTACTGATCTCATCAAAATACTACTTTACGTATTTGGAAACTATCAAACTCATGGGGGTGAACAAAATTTTTTTTCATTTTAATATTTACTTGAGAGTTTTGTTTGTATGTAGATTTCCAGTGTTTTCTACTTGAAAGTGTTGGAAAGAGAGTCCTTTACGGATAAGAAAACTCAGCATAACATTCTTCAAGTCCATCCATACCATGAGGAGCTTCGTTGTTTCATCATAGTATCCCATTATGTGTATGTGTATTTATCCATTCTTCAACTTGTGGGCATTTAGGTTGTTTCCAACCTCTTGCTATTGTGGATAGTGATAGGACGATCAGGGATTTACATACAGCTGTTCATACTATGACTCTTACTTCTTTATGGTATATACCCAGCAAAAGGACCAGTGAGGCATACAGCATTTCCATTCCCAGTTATTTAAGGAAGTGTCATAACACTTCCCACCAGGGCTGTACATTTTCACAAGTCACCAGCTAAGTATGGCGGTTTCAATCTCTGCACACCCTCTCCAGCATTTCTTATCTCCTGTTTGAATTTTTAATGCTGTGATCAATGACAATATTAGGTGGTATCTCATCTTGTTTTGACTTGCATTCCACAGACAGCTAGTGATTGTGAGTATATCTTCTTGGCCATCTGGATGTCATCATTTGTGAACTCTCTCTGTTCATGTCCTCTACTCACTTTTCAAACGGGTTATTTGTCTTTTTCTTGTTAAGGTGTTACAGTTTTCTATAGCCTCAGAGATTAGTCTTTTGTCTCATACATCATTGTCAAAAAATTTTCCATCTGTTGGTTCTCTCTTTACTCTATTGAAAAAGCATTTGATGAATAGAAGTGTCTTATTTTTATAAGGTTCCAGTGACCTAATTTGTCTTCTGCTATGTGTGTGGGGGAGGTGGTGGGGGTGGGGGGATATTTCCCATTACAGTTAGTAGT